CCAGGAGCAGAGAGAGGAGAGGAAGCGTAGCTCATCGAGCCGCTGAGAGGAGACCCGACTGGGTGCCTGCAAGAAGCGGGCAACGCCAGACAGGGAGCCAGCGCCGCAGGCTGGAGAACACTCACCCGCTAGCTGAGGCATCAGACACAGCGAGTCGGCAAATGCGGCAACGTGCCAGGGGAACACAGCCTGCAGCCGCAGCAGCTTACATGCCAGACAGAGACTGGCTAAGGAGGCTGGAGAACACACATGCGCTGGCTGACGTATCAGACACAGCGAGGACCGACTGGCGGGCTGCAGTGCAGCTGCTGGGCAGGAGGGCCAAGCCAGGGACCCAACCTGCAGGTCGCCCCAGGGCTAAGTGGCTGCCGAGCGCTGTCCATAGACAGGTGAGCCACAAGAGTGAACTCGAGGACGAGACACTCGAGTACAGCCAGCACCGCAGGCTGGAACACAACACACTCGCTGGCTGGCTTATCAGACACAGCGAGGCCAGGCTAACTTGTAATGGGTGAACCGCATGCAGAGAGCCTGGCGCTGCAGGCTGGAGAACACTCACTCGCTGGCTGAGCATCAGACACAGCGAGGTCCAGCTGGCGTGTAAACTGGCAAAGCGCAGGCAATACGCCAGGGAAACACAGCCTGCAGCTGCAGCAGAAGCAGCAGAAGCAGTAGCAGCAGCAGCGGCGACGGCTTAACCTGCGGTCAGAGCCGAGAAGCCATCCCAATCGAGGAACGACAGGAGCCCTGCTGGCCGCGTGAACCGCGCACTGCGGGCAAAACGCCAGACAGAACAGGCTACACTAGGCTGGAGAAGGCACTCGCCGCATCGAAGTGCGACTGGCATGTAAGCCAGCGAACGCGGGCAAAACGCCGAAGCAACACAGCCTACCAAGCCACTCGAGCACAGCAGCTGGCTAACGCTTTGACAGAAGCCCGCGATATGTGGATAACGCCCCAGAAGGGAACGGCGGAGCCGCCAGTTGGAGAGGTCAAGTCACAACAGATCCCTGCCTGGCACTAGGCAGTGACACAGAGCCAGGGAGAGAGAGAGAGCCTGTCACAGCAGCTCGGCCACTCAGAGGATGGCCGAGGTAGGATGAGGCCCAGGGCCTGTCCCAGGAGTAGAGCAGCTGACCTGGACCATCCACGACAGGGGAGGTGCTGGTGGCTCAGGCCACTGAGGGCCCAAGTGGCAACCCAAGGTTCATCACTAGGGCATAGCAACCACTCCGCGGTGTCTATAGACAGGGGGCCAGCAGAGTGGGCCTGATGAGACACTAACGGACAGATGGGAGGTGTCAGCTCACTGAGCGGGCACCTGCTCTGGCCAGGTGACCCGTGATACAGGGGCAACCCACTAGACAGATAGCCAGCGCTGCGTGCTTGAGAACACCCATTCACCGTCTGACATATCAGACACAGCGGGGTCATATTTCCGTTGTGTTTTGTGTGCTTTTGCAGCGTTTTTCTCATTGCTGGTGTTTTCTTAAGTTGCAGTCCGTTTGGCCTG